CACTTTTCAACATAAAAAAGCTCTCTTGTGAATTTTCGTTATAGTTCGCCGTTTTTGAGATATTTCGATTTTTAAGGTTCGATGCATTTTTAATTATTTATGATAAAATAACGTTCAAAAGTCAGTATCTCGATAATTTTTAGAAGTAGGCTGTGCCTGCAAATATTTTTGAAATTGAAAGCAGAATAAGGTTAAGCGTCAATTAGTTGACAGTTAGTTTTGTTGTCTGTTGAAACCTGAAACGTTTTTTTTTGCAATTGTGAATGCACGAAATTTAGTTTCATTTACCTGTTTTTTTTGTAAGTTTTATAAAAATGCCATTTTTATTCTCCAATCAAGAGTTAGCGGATATTCATTTTGTGTATGGCTTTGTAAATGGAAACGCAGCAGAAGCAGCCAGAGAATACGCACGAAGACTTCCACTCAGACGACATCCAACTCGCTCAGTATTTGTAAGAGTGCATCGCCAAATAATTGAAAATGGTTTTGGAAATCTCCAAAGGGATCAAAACATAAATGTACGTCAGCGCAGATTTACCCGTATGATTCTGCGTGAGTTTGATAGAGATCCGACCACAAGTGTTAGGAGAGTTTCTGGAGCCTTGGGAATTTCAGCAAGCCATGTTCACCGTGTTCTTAGAAATGACCATAGACGTCCTTACCATTTGCAACCTGTGCAAGGACTACAGCCAGGGGACGGAGAACGAAGAATCACATTTTGTCAGTGGATTCTTGATAGAACTGATAATAATAGGGAGTTTTTAAGTAACGTTTTATGGACCGATGAGAAATGCTTCACTAGACGTGGAGTGGTAAATTTTCATAATCAACATATTTGGTCGCATGAAAATTCGCATGCAGTTCGGGAAAGAAATGTTCAGCTTGAATTTAGTGTGAACGTGTGGATTGGTATCTACTGTAATCGACTATTTGGACCCTACCTTTTGCCTGCAAGGTTAAATGCTGCGACCTTCTTGGAATTTTTAAAGGCTGAACATGCAAATATGTGGGATGATGTTATGTTAGATTTAAGAAGATTGACCTTGTTCCAGCTTGATGGTTGTCCAGCTCATTATTCGAGAATAGTTAGAATCTGGCTGGACGAAAATTATCCAGAAAGATGGATCGGCCGTGGAGGATCAGTCGCCTGGCCTCCACGATCCCCTGACCTAAATCCATTAGATTTCTTTGTGTGGGGATTTCTAAAAGAAAAAGTTTACCAGACTCCCGTAACCACAAGAGATATGCTAATAGACAGAATCAGGAATGCATGTGATGAAATAAGGCCTTATTTGAATAATGCTATACCACGTTCGATCATTCGTAGATGTGAATTGTGTATTGAACAATTGGGTTTACATTTCGAGCAACTACTTTAGATTTTGTATGTTTGTCCTAACTATCCAATAGCATTTTAGTTGTAAATAATTAATTTAATTTGTTAAAAATAATATTGGAAAATTAAACAAATTAATATTCTGTTTTTTGTGTTTATTTGGAGTTAGGAATTATTGCTGTGTTTAAACAAGCAATCTAAACGATCATCTTAATTACTTGTAATTCCTAAATCGAAAATTTAAAAAAACATATTATTTTCCCATAAATAATTAAAAATGCATCGAACCTTAAAAATCGAAATATCTCAAAAACGGCTATTTTATTCAAAAAGCAAAAAGTTGCACTGAGAAAAAATTTTCGGTCATTTTAACTACAGGTACAGTAGAGAGCGCCCTCTAGCGGCTACAGTAAAACTATGCCCATGGTTCAGTTTGTCGTACCAAAAAACCCTTGTATACCAATGTTCACTGTTATACATCAAATATTGTTCGAAATATTTAAAAAAAACTATTTTAAAAAGTAAATTTAAACACCCTGTATTTCGGAAGCCACGCATTTTTCGACCCATGTTCATATAGACTTTATGCATTAATTTTAAAATTTCTATCGAACCTTAAAGTTATGCAACAATAAACTGAAACACCCTGTATATATATATATATATATATATATAACTTGAGACGTGGTCATTGTCGTCTAGACCAGTTAGGTGAAAAATTAAAGCTCCCACCTTTTGTTGGGTACTTCGATAAAATTTAAGCAAAGAAGACTCTTTATGCTTTTTTAATCTCTCTAGCCTTAAATGGTCTTTGCCATCATCATCAGGAGCTGCAATAACATTGAGAAAAGTAGCAATAATTGTGTAAAATGAATTTAAATTAACTTACAGTATTATGTGAGGATGTTGCTACCAGGTTACTGGGTGTTTCCCTCAACCTAAACGTAAATAACATTTAGCAACATCCTCACATACTACTGTAAGTTAATTGAAATTCATTTTGTATAATTGTTGCTACTTTTCTCATTGTTATTGCAGCTCCTATTGATGATGGCAAAGACCTTTGTAAGCTAGAGAGATTAAAAAAGTATAAAGAGTCTTCTTTGCTTAAATTTTGTCGAAGTACCCAACAAAAGACGGAAGCTTTAATTTTTCACATATATATATATATATATATATATATATATATATATATATATATATATATAATGTGTGGAAGAATTTGCGCAGTTCCAAAACAACTTTTTTGATAAATAAATAAAATTTTGAAAATTTAGTCAAGAAGATAATTTTTGTATTCTTCAAAAGGAATATGCAAAATTCTTAATTTTCTGTGAAAAGTTTACAGTAGGTCTATTGGAAGAAAATTAAATAGCTTACACAAAATAAATGTTTTTTCTGCACCACCCACATAGTGTCGTATTACCTTGATTTCGTTCGTTGTCCCAGATATAAAACCCAGACCATGCTAATGAGTATCTAAAAACACGATACAGCTGTCCATGCCGCCGAAAATCGAGGTAACCTAAAGCGGCATACACGCCTTGTTGGATGTCTGGATCGACTCAACGTTCAATGTTCAAAGTTAAATTACGATTTTTCCCTTTTTTTTAAGTTTTCAAAAACTTTGAGGAGCATTACGGGAAATTGCCACCACGTCCACATTAAGTGCAATTAAGCCACGTAACAGAAAAATTAGGAATGACGCATCACATTTCAAACATTTTCGAAGTGCCTCACATCTAGGCGCTGATTTGTATTTTCTAGTTACATCGCAAAATAAATTTCTATAAAATCGAAATGGCTGGAAATAAAAAATAATGTAACACTTTCATAAATATTCTTCTGTAGCATATTTTCTCATCTGTTACTTCACCAACCAGAGATTTTCTTTTCTCATCTCTCGCATTTTTGAAATTCAGCAAATTTGCATATGTAGTTTCCAGAATGAATAAGAAAAAGTGGATGCGCAACTAATTTCTAGCTTTGAATCTCAAATAAGTGTATTTGAGACAAGAAACCTATGGTATGTTACATATCGTCACAGCCAAACATCGATAACAGGAGCATCATGAAGTTTAGGCAACACGTACAACTACAAAACGAGTTCACAACAAATGTCCATCAGCTGGTGCTAAGTTAACATCTTGTAGAAAATCCTACGTTATGTCTAAAAACAACCTACGTTATATTAAAAAAAAAAACGAGCATATGTCACTTTTCAAGATACGTAATATGCCGGCGATCAAACGCGAACTGAGATCTTTACAGTTGCAACCTATAGCTGCTATGCACTTTCGCAGTGGTCGATTCTGGGAACAGACGGTGCTTTGCGCTGTCTTATATCGATAAATTAATTGTCGTGGTAACTTTTTCCATGAAACATGTGTTTTACAAAAACAGTTTGGAAAACCCAGGTCAGTGATGAAACCATTGATGTATGCCCACATAGGAATAGATATGTAGACCCTAGGCCTTAATGGTAAATTTTTCTCATAGTTGACGAGATTTCATACATGGAACGCAACACACATTTGCTAAGTTTTGCACGTAGAAGTATAGTTTTGATATCAAGTGGTAGTGTTAGTTATCGTAGTATTTGCTCTGTTTATGATTTGAAATTATAATATATAGTGTTGCGTTGAAGCGCAGATAATTTCTTCCCAAACAAAAGTGTCCTTGGGTCTACGATGAATTTCTGAGAAATAGGCGAATAAAGTTCGCCTGAGTGTGCCGAAAAACTCAAAGAATCAGTATAGTGAAAGAAATATTTCATTAAAACACGTTGTTGGAAGGTATTGGGAGGTGTCATGTTGATCGTAACCATGATCCTTACAAGGTTTCAGGGCAAGTTCATTTCCATATGTTTATGCTGGAATAGATCTAGCACGATCTGCTCGAGAATTCAGAAAACTCAATAGAACAGGTAGATTTTCCTTGCGTTTGATTATGACCTTCACAAGGTCAAATCAAGGTCATGTTGATTTTGAAGGTGGAAGGTATTATATTTTATTTACTATTCATTGGAGTTTGCTGTTTTGGTCTGCTTCAGACATTTCCAATGGTTTGAGTCAACTTCTCGGAGGATAACCAAACTCCAGTATCATGGAGAATTTGGCAAAGAAACCACATATACCTAGGGTCTGGACACCAGGTTTAGATTCACAGTAATGCCCATCAATCAACTTGTTGACAAGGTATCCATAGCAAATACTTGGGTAAATCCTTTTTATAGATACCTTCTACTTCGTCTAACGGCACGTAGCCGTTCGCCTCTTGCGCCGTTGCTGATGCGCAATTATATCTTCCATAATAATCGGACGATGGCACCTATCAATAAGAGCATGAGCTACTTAATAAAGGTATGATCTCTGTAAGTTGACAGATGTTAGATAATAAAACATATCGACAGACCGTACGTCCTGGAAAGAAGTTAGTTGCACTGCATTCGTTCCTTGGTCAGAGACGATGGACCAAGTCTAGACCAACCTGATGTGTAACCGGAAAGCACGACACAGCTGTTTATAGTTGGCTGTCTTTGATCGGACGGTTTTCCAATAGGGACTTGACAACTTTGAACTTTTACTTTGATCGCACCTCTCAATCAATTACCTAACAGTCAATGTCAAAACATTCAGTAAAGAAAACATTTTCATCATGGTGAAGTACACGATTGAACAGCCCCTACGAATACTACCGAAATTCCGCCAATTTTTGGTCATGATTCTCGTCCCAGTATACAAGCAATTCATAGTCTAGTAAAAACTTTTGAGTCCACATATTCGCTCCTGGATGCTCCCGTACCAGTGAGACAACGGGTTTGTCGAAGTGCCGAGAATATCTCTGCTGTTCAAGCTTCCGTCGCAACGAACAGAACACGTCGATCCCACGGCGATCTCAAGAACTGGGCATAGCTCTGACCACACTATGGCGAATTTTGCGAAGAGATCTTGGTCTGCACCCTTATAAGATCAAGTTAACTCAAGAGCTAATGCCGTTTGATCATATGAACCGACGTACGTTCTCGAATTGGGCTCTAGAAATGTGGCAAGAAAATTACCAATTTCATCGCAAAATCATCATCAGTGATGAGTCGCATTTTTGGCTATGGTATGGTTTCCATGCCTGTGGTGTCATTGGGCCGTTTTTTTTTTCGTTAATGAAAATGACCGTCACGTTGCAGTCAACAGAGATCGCTGCAGAGACCTGTTTTTCAATTAGATGGGCTAGACATTAATGATATGTGGTTTCAACAAGATGGTGCCACAAGCCGCACAGTGGGTGAAACAATCGACATATTGAAATCGAAATTCGGTGAATATGTTATGTCGAGGATGGCCGCCTAGATCGTATGATTTCACGCCTCTAGACTTTTTTTGGGGGGGCTACATTAAATCATTGGTCTATGCCAACACGCAGGCGTCGTCAGAGGAGCTCAGAGCCAGTATTGAACGAGAGATGGAGGATGTTTCTGTCGAAATGTGTGGCTCATTGAAAATTGGGTCCAACGAATCGATCACTGCGATCGTGACCGTGGTGGACATATTTACGAGGTCGAGTTCCATACATAAATGTCTTGACTATTCTTCAATCCAACAAAAAAGTTTTCGAGATATCTCAAGTGGTTTGCATTTTATTGAAAAAGAAAGTTGTCAAGTCCTTAATGGAAAACCCTTTATTCTTCAAGTAAACCGTATCTATAAGCAGCTAGAATCGTCAGCCATCTATCGGTCACACTTGAGACTGCGCTACCACTGTGTGCTGAAATCTTCACAGTTCCAAGCGGTAGCTGCTATACACTGTTCGCAGTGGTCAATTCTGGATGTGGATTTTTGAATTATCTGCACTTCAATCATGTACATTACACATTGATCTACATATTTTCTTCCATATACAATAAGTTATGGAAGGAATGTAATTTTTGTATATGTAAAAAATAGTAATACTGCTAATACGTACATTAGGAATGAAGTATGATTACATGTTCGGTATATGAACTTTATATGTGAAAGTGAGATAGAAGCATACTACATTCTTTAGGAACTGAACTACATGAAGTAGTAAGTAATGTTCAATAACATAACATTGAGGGAAGTACTAAAAAGAATTTTAAGCCAGTAGATCTACACTTGTCAAATGTTCAAAAGGTAGTATGCTTTTTGCTCACTCTAGAAGGCTATTCACAGCATCTTCGAACTTCCCTTTACTCAGAATAAATGTTCAGTCAGACCTGGAAGTTCCAGTCAGTAGAGAAGAAACCATTTGAACTATTTTGTGGACGTGAAGTTTCATATTTCGAACAGTTTTTCCGGTCCAGCCTTCTAAATCCAAACTCCCCTCGATACGGACGTAGTTTCGTCTCATCATAACTCGTAGATGTCTCTACCGTTTGGCCTGGTCGATAGCCTGAAATCAATCACATTGATCAAATGTAACTACTAAAACGTCCTGTTCAGTTTATTACTCAAATACATCCTTGAACCACACACTCTAGGGTTAAAGTGACAGCCGGGAAATAGAAAGCGAGTGGAGATACCGGTTCGCTTTCACTTGAACGCCGCCAGATGGGGCATCAAGCAGCTCGAAAGAACTAAGGAATAGTGATATGGGTAGGATTGAATTTGGCTCTAATAGTTAGTCCTGAAAGTTGGTTGGCATCTGGTGCTCTAGATTAATTGGTTAGGTCGCCCAAATTTTATTTCTCTCAAGTTGTTTACTAAACATTATTTGAATTATATATTTAAATAATCGATCTCAAATTGTGAAATTATCAAGATATTTCAAATAAATTAAATATAAACGCAGGGGTACCTCAAGGATCATTATTAGGTCCGATTCTATTCTTAGTCTATATCAACGACTTATTAAACTTAAACGTAAATGGTTAATTTATAGTCTTGGTTGACGATAACACAATTTATTGACAAGACAAAGATGTAAATGAATTTAAGATAAAAATTGATAGTTATATACAATCAATCAAAAAAATATGTGACAATTACTTGACTTTAAATGTTAATAAGACAAAATTTGGGAATGACCATTGATCATAAATTAGATTTCACCAATCATGTAGACAAATTGCTTACTCAAATATCAAACATTTCCTACATTATAAGACCAATTAGTTACAACGCTCTTAAGTTACTTTGCCTTATTTGAGAGTAGATTAAGATATAACATTCCCTTTTGGTGACTCCATTTTCAAAATTGTTTGAAAAAGGTGCTTATTCTACAATAAATAACAGTTTAAAAAAACAAAAAAACACGCTTTTATAGCTAACCGAACTACGAAGTAGAAAATAATTTTTATCTATCTATCCATCTATTTGAACTAAGAGCTTACCCACAGCATGTTGTACATTCAAACTAACCTTTTTGTCTCTCTGCTGTACTCTCTACCTCTTTGAGGACTAGTGTACATATTGTATCCGGGAATGATATGTACCCTGACGTCACCGGAGGGTCTCACACCTTCTGGACGTTGTCTTCGTGAAGACGACATGTTAGTTTTGCAGCAACAGTAGTGGAATAGATTCACGTAGGCTCCTCGGAAATGTCTACAAAAAAATATTCTTGATTTGTACAACCTCTTGGTGGTTCTGGTATGAAAATTTTAGGACAGTTCGAATAGTTGATATCAACTTATGGCATTCGAAACTTTTCTGATTATCATTTACGTTTTTGATTCAATCGTTATAAACGTCACACGCTGAATTGTCGTCTATCATGATTTGCTACTCGTATAAAACGGTTAAATGATTATTTGGTATTAAACGTTCCAGTGTTTATTTATTTGGTTAAAACGTTTTAATTTTGAACGTTGAAATCTCTATATAATTTAGCAATCTTGGATCTTAGATCACAGGAACTGCAGGTGAGTTGACCTGCTCTCCAAAACGGCCAAACTCATAGAGAATGCCTCAAATGTTACACGCCTAATCCTTGTAAGCGTTTTCCCAAACAATGTTTGAACGCCTGGATGATTAAACGTACAATTATTTTAAACATATTTAGAGAAGGTTATTTCAAGGTCAATTTTATGTTTCTAAATCTAAGATCAATGTCACCTCTGAAGGACAAATGAAGGTTAAATGTCTGAGAATAGCGAAAATTCATAGAAGTTTAGCAGGATTATTGATAAAAAAATAAAGGTCAGACATTTAGTTACGTTTGACCATGAGCCTCCCCTTCAAAGTCATAGTAGTATATAAGAGCGTATTATAACTTAGAGCTTTCCATTAATATTGTCAAGAATGGGGGTTCCCAGTTAAAAACAGATGAAGTAAGGCGATGCAGAGATTATTTACACTTTCCGACGTTACTGAATAAAATTAATCCCTACGTTGTGACCAACTATTATCTTCGGAAATTTAGAGCACACACCACTTTTTATTTCTTGTGGGCATGTGAATTGTTTTGATGCGTTAAATGGGTAAAAACAGTCGGACCTCAATCACACACCAATTTTTCTATTTAGTAGACCTGTGTAATCCTGCTAAACTGCTGGAAATTTCCCAGCTTCATATATTTGACCTTCATTTAACCTTCAGTTAGCTTTGATGAATATTCGGATGTACAGTTTTCGGTTTTTACGATTATAGTTTTCCAAAAGTTGACCTTGAAATAACATTAAAGGTGGGTCGAATCCAAGGACACCATTGTGTAGGCCTGACCATGCCCTTGAAAAAATGCCTTATCTGGTAAAATGCATAATCGGACAGTTACTTTTGTTACCTTTGTGATGGTGTGTCACAATCTAAGATGGTCTAAGCTTAGTGTATTTCCACCTTTACTCACCTATTTGATATGGCGTAAAGAATACAGTTGATACACGACTTGCTGATAGCCAGCCAGGCTAAATTGTAGAACAAACTATCAGGTATCCGTCTGACTGCACCTACTGCCAAAACGACTCCAAACGGGAGCCAGAACACCACGAACATAGCGAAGCTGTAGATGTTCGATTGCATAAGGGAACAGTCCCAGTTGAAGGTTATGGGTGCTTTGAAAGACGGACGGGACTTGTATCTGAAATAATACTGTGGTAGTTAGGAGTTACATACCAAAATCGACTTTGATATGCACTGAAAACCAAATTTGTCTGGCAGCTTGAGTTCATTGTATACAAGATAGAAGTGTGTACAGACACATATATTAGAAAGAGATAGAAGCCGGCTGCCTAGCAACCTACCGCAGCAATCTGCCGCGTTGTCACCAATCCCTTCAATAAGATACACATTAAAAAAAAAAGCTCAAAGAATGGTTTATTTTGAGAGTACACATTTTTGAATTGTGAATTATGTCGAATGTATTTAGGATTGATTCCGGATCAGTCCTAGCGGTGTGTCATTTTAAGTAGAGATGAAAGGTTAGGATCGCCAGAAATTCCGCAACATCTTGCACATTCCAAAATGATGTTGAGCGATTTTGGTCGACATCCATATAGGATAGATGCAGGACATTTGAATGACACTGTCTATTGCAGAGAAAAATAATGTCAGACAATCAGTAACTCTTAACAAGGCGTCCATTATATGTTAACCTTCCATTACCGGTGTCAAAGAGGCAAGTTCCCAGTTAAAAAAAGATTTACCTTGTAATAACATCGAACGTGAGGTTAAAGGTTGAATTCAAGTTCATCAGTGAAATACCCATAAGATACTTAAAACCTGTTCTTGATAATGTTTTTCATCCAGAACATCTACTGTTAAGCTCACCCACCGTACTTCTCGCGCCATCTAGTGAGCGGCGCTTCAACGCATCAACCGTTTGCTACTGGCCAGGCGGTTACCCTACGTTACCGACCGGGCGGGAAATCTACAGGTTTTTTTGTTACCAACCGGTGACGCAAGAAGAAGAGGGGATGATGGTGCCATGAGAGACAGACATTGTTGTTCACGTATATACAAAGTATTGTACCCTACATTTTCTGTTATAAACCTTCGTAAAGCGAAGAACGTATAGTTATTTCATCGGTAAACCCTCCGAGTGAGTGCTTTACACGTTGGTCCTTCGAGCCACGATCAGTAACGTAAGAAAACGACGAAGTAAAGAAGCCACGCCACACCACGACCACGAAGCCACGCCACGACACGACCACGAAGCCACGCCACGACCACGAAAGCTAAAAGTATTGAAACCAGATGATTGAGTCAGAAATATCTGCTGTAAGTCTGTTCCTTATCACTTCCTTGTCTCGTTGATTCAAAATCAGGTCAATCAGTAGTGCAATCAATCAGTCATATCGTCTAGTTGAAAAAATGATCGATCCAGCTATGGATTCCGATTCCACAAGTGAAACTGCACAGCAGTTACGGCAGCTGCTCATCAAGCGAAGACAAATAAAGGGTTCACTAACGCGTTTTATAACGTATCTAGAAAACTTTGATAAAAGCGAAATAATTCAATTAGAGGCGCGTTTAGAGCAAGCCACGGGATTGTTAGACAATTTCAATACAGTACAAGATGAAATAGAGATTCTCAGTGAAACTGAGTTAAGTTCAAGTGAGAGAGCCACCTTTGAAGACAGGTATTACAGCGCAATAGAGAATGCACACATATACACAAAAGCGAGCAAGCAAATAAACACAGAACCTTCATCAAACGTGGGCCTCTCACATCACCAGTTGCATTCTGTCTCAAATACAAGATTTCCAAATATTGAGTTGCCAAAGTTTCATGGTGAATATGAAAAATGGGGTCAGTTCAGGGATATGTTTTTGGCCTTAGTTGACAGAGATCCTACATTAGATAATGTCAAAAAATTCTATTATCTGATGAGCTGTTTAAAAGGAGAAGCCGCAAGAGTAATCGAAAACATGGAAGTCACAGGAGAGAATTATGATCATGCATGGCAGTTATTAAAATCTCGATATGAAAATAGTACAGTTATCATAAAGAATCATGTTCGAGAATTAGTTGAAATGCCATCGGTAACTAGAGATCCTCACTCCCTTAGAAAATTAACAGATGACCTTCAAAAGCATTTGAGGTCATTAACTTCCTTAGGCGAGCCTGTGACACAGTGGAGTACTTTGCTAATTTATTTGATCACAAAAAAACTCGATCCTTCATCGGAAAAGTCGTGGGAGGAGCACGTAATCTCACGTCAAATTGAATCGCCTGGTATAGATGATTTAATCAAATTTTTAAATGCTCGGTGTCAATTGCTTGAGGCCATATCGCGTGAAAAATCTGATAAATCCACAGGCAGAGCACAGAATACATCGGTTAACCACAAGAAACCTGTAAGCTTGAATAGAACATTTTCGGGCGCAGCAATCGAAGCATCATGTGTGTATTGTAACGGTCAGCACGCGATTTACTTGTGCGATAAATTCAAAGCATTACCAGCCGCATCTTTGCGCCAAGAAATTCAAAAATTAAAATTATGTTGGAACTGCCTCCGACAAGGCCACCAGAAGGGTGAATGCCGTTCACGGGGGTGTAAGCGATGTGGCGCCAGACACAACACGCTGTTGCATGAATCATCTCATCACAATGCGGTCCCTGCATCGACGTCGTCTGCTACAGGGTCGGCACTGCTCGCGAGTTCTGAATCAGCGGCTACCAGTGGCGTAGCAATCGCTAAGGGTTCGAGTAGCGCAGTACAAAAAAATGATGATCAGTCGACAGGGTTGCTTGCGGGTAGCTGTGTGGACCTCAAAAACAGAGTTTTATTATCCACGGCGATAATTTTACTCAAAGATGCGGAAGGGCGATGGCACGAATGTCGCGCTTTACTTGATAGCGGATCGCAACCGAACTTCATCACGAAACGCACGGTGGAATTGTTGAAATTAAAGCCTATGAATAGTAGAATACCGGTATTAGGTGTAGGCAGTTCTGTTCCAAAGGCATGTCAAGTGGTATCTACAGAGATAAGGTCTACCTGCACGACGTTTTCTACAAAGCAAACGTTGTTAGTGTTGGAAAAAATAACCGAGAATCAGCCGAGCGTATCTTTCGCCCCAGAAAACTTGCGTATACCGTCCAGCGTACAGTTGGCGGACCCACGTTACCATAAATCGTCAGAAATCAATGTTCTCTTGGGAGCAGGATTGTACTTAGAACTATTGTGTTCTGGTCAGATCCAATTAGGGCCAGGACTACCCGTTTTGCATAACACGGTATTAGGCTGGATTATATCGGGGAAACTTGAGCAGGAACAATCCGATAGTACGGTAGTGTGCAATCTCGCCGTTAGCACGAGACTTGAAAGCCAGATCGAAAAATTTTGGCTCGTAGAAGAAGTCTCTAGACACAAAACAGAAATACCCGAGCACGATGAATGCGAGACTTTATTCAGAAAAACAACGCGACGCGACGAACGCGGACATTTTGTTGTCACCTTACCAATAAAAAACAATGTAACACAACTGGATTGCAACTTACATAACGCGATAACTCGATTACATGCAATGGAGCGAAAATTCAGCAAAAATCCATCATTTCGAGAAGAATATGTCGCGTTCATGAAAGAATACGTGTCGTTGGGCCACATGTCGCGAATAGCTGAAACGGATATTTCCCCTAGTATCGGGAATACCTTTTATTTACCTCATCACGGAGTATCGAACCCAGCGAGTACAACGACAAAATTGCGCGTTGTATTCGACGGTTCAAGCAAATCAAATAGCGGATTATCGTTAAACGACACATTGATTATCGGGCCTAAGATCCAACAAGACCTGTTTGACATCCTAGTGCGATTTCGAAAATATAGCGTAGTGTTGGTTGCTGACATTGCCAAAATGTATCGGCAAGTAGGTGTTGAAGAAGGTCAGCGTGACTTGCAGCGAATTGTATGGCGTGAAAACACAAGTGAAGACATAGCTCATTATAAGTTAAATACAATCACGTACGGCACGGCATCGGCATCTTTTCTCGCAGTTCGCTGTTTACAACAAGTTGGTCAAGATAATCTCGAAAAGTATCCTAAGACTAGTAAAGTTATCCTAAATGACTTTTACGTCGATGACCTGATCAGTGGATCAGACTCGGTAGATGACGCAAAGCAGTTAAAAAATGAATTAGCCGCTATACTTGACTCGTATGGGTTCCCGTTGAGGAAATGGTTGTCAAACCGCGTCGAGACGTTAGAGCAAACAGTTAACAACGAATCTAATACGTTTCAGCTGAATAACGATGAGACGCGCAAAACATTGGGTGTATTTTGGAATGCCCAATCTGATGTATTCAAATATACAGTCGAAATAGATCAGTTCGTACTAAAGCGTATCACGAAACGAGGTATGTTATCCGCCATCTCGAAGATATTCGACCCGTTAGGGATACTCAGCCCAGTGACCGTAACCGTGAAGTTGATGATACAAGAGCTTTGGCAGTTAAAAGCGGGATGGGATGACATAGTCACTCCTAAGGTTTCAAAAGGTTGGACTAAGTTCATAAGTGAGTTATCGTCTATACAAGAAATCGAAACACCCCGACAAATTATTATGACAAACGCAACTCGAATCGAGATTCACGCATTTTGCGACTCATCACAGCGGGCATACGGCGCGAATCTTTATGTAAAAAGTACCGGACCACAAGGTTCAACCGTAAATTTGCTGTGTTCAAGATCTCGGGTTGCACCGTTAAAGGCTATAAGTCTGCCACGGCTCGAGTTATGTGGAGCACTCCTAATGGTACGGTTGGTTAGTAGAGTCATGCAAACTATTGATACGCACATTAATCAGATTTTCTACTGGACAGACAGCACAATAGTCCTGTCCTGGATCTCGGCTCCACCTATCAAGTGGAAACAGTTCGTAGCGAACCGTGTCACAGAAATACAGAATGTAAGTAATATAACCCAGTGGAATCATATCTCGTCTCAGGATAATCCTGCAGACATCGTGTCGCGAGGTCTCAGGGCCCCCGAACTCGCTACATGTGAGCTCTGGTGGCATGGGCCATCATGGTTAGCTGAGGACGAGCAGTCCTGGCCAAGACCTAGTTTTAAAACTGCATCCAATATTGAAAATAGTGTTTTGGAGGCACGAAAGTGTCAGATCTCGCTAGTTGCGCGTACCGTTGACCATACTATTTTCGAAAGAGGTGCGACCTTATATAGACTGCAAAAAATCATAGCCTTCTGTAAGCGATTTACACACAACGCAACATCGCCACCTGCCCACCGCAAATCAGGTCCCATAACTAACGAAGAATTTAATGAAGCACTACTTATCTTAGTCAGGCAAGCTCAAGCCCAAGACTTCACCACGGAAATGGAATGTTTATCTCGGAATAAGAACTTGCCTAAGATCTCGCGGATCCAAAATTTAAGTCCATTCCTCGACCAACAAGGTTATTTGCGGGTTGGAGGCCGTTTGACCAAGTCTGACTTACCATTTGAAACCCGACATCCTCTTATATTAGGCTCAAAGCATCGCCTTACTGTGTTGTTGATTAAGCACGAGCATCACCGGCAGCTACACGCGGGAGCGCAAGCTATTTTAAGTTCATTAAGACAGCGTTTTTGGCCAATTGGTGGAAAAAGTACTGTCAGAAATGTCTTGAATAAGTGTTTGACCTGTTTTCGAGTGAATCCTACCACGATTGTACGCAAAATGGCGGATCTGCCGAAGGATCGAGTCACCGTCAATCGGGCCTTTTTGATAACGGGAATAGACTACGCTGGACCCTTTCAAATAAAAGATGGCCGCCTACGGAACCGTGCTATAATTAAAGCCTATTTGTGTATCTTTGTATGCTTTACCACTAAAGCAGTACATTTGGAAACAGTGAGTGATCTTAGTGCCGACTCATTTCTTGGCTGCTTAACTAGGTTCACGTCCCGTCGAGGTTTACCTCGGATTTTATACACCGATAATGCAACTAATTTTGTTGGTGCTCATAATAAATTGAAAGAAATTTATGACGCACTTGTTTTAAATATTCAAGACCCCAGTGTAGTCAAATTTTTCCTAACCAATAATACTGAATGGAAATTTATTCCGCCGCGATGTCCCCACCGTGGAGGCTTGTGGGAGGCTGCCGTAAAGCGTGCCAAGTTCCACCTATCTCGCGTACTTGGAAAGAAAATCTATACTTTTGAACAGCTAACCACAATATTTGCGCAAGTGGAAGCTATATTGAATTCGCGTCCTCTGACACCCCTTTCTGCTGACCCTTCCGATTTGTCTACCCTTACACCCGGCCATTTCATAATCCACGAACCCTTAACTACCATCCCATACACAGACTTGACGACTACACCGATGAATCGGCTGACTCAATACCAATGCCTACAGCAAGCTTACCAACTGTTTTGGCATAGATGGTCCAAGGAGTACCTTCAACTATTGCAAGTTCGGACCAAATGGCTCAAGGCGGATACGCAAGAAATTCATGAGGGAAAGCTAGTTTTACTTCTCGACGACAACCTGCCTCCCATGCTATGGAAACTGGGACGCATCACCAAACTACACCATGGACAAGATGGAGTTGCCCGCACTGTAACCGTGCGCACTGTCAATGGAGAAACCACGAGAGCTGTGCAGAGAGTAGCCCTTCTACCAGTTGAAGATTTTCCTAAGAACAGTGTTGAAAGCCCTGCTCATCAGGATCTTTCAAGGCCGCCGGTATGTTAAGCTCACCCACCGTACTTCTCGCGCCATCTAGTGAGCGGCGCTTCAACGCATCAACCGTTTGCTACTGGCCAGGCGGTTACCCTACGTTACCGACCGGGCGGGAAATCTACAGGTTTTTTTGTTACCAACCGGTGACGCAAGAAGAAGAGGGGATGATGGTGCCATGAGAGACAGACATTGTTGTTCACGTATATACAAAGTATTGTACCCTACATTTTCTGTTATAAACCTTCGTAAAGCGAAGAACGTATAGTTATTTCATCGGTAAACCCTCCGAGTGAGTGCTTTACATCTACAAATTATCCCTAGCCTCACATAATATGACTTTTATTTGACATTTAGCGATGGCATTGATCATACATTTTAATATACATTCGGACGTAGGGTTTACCGTTATTTTGATTGCCGATGTCAAAAAGGGTTTTTTTTATTTATAAAGCAAACTTTAACGTTGAAACAATTTTGAAGGTGAGACTTATGTCCAAATCCAAGGTCGCCATTGATCCCCTTTTGCAAATTTAACTGACCTTGATCTACAGAACCGTTCCGTTACTTTTGTTGTTATACACACAAGGTGATCTAGAAAACAGTACCAATATTTGTGTAGTGCAGAACGTACAAGTCCGATATTAGACACAGCTTCTATAAACATCGATCCTACAATCATCCCTTAACAAAATACAAGCTGTTGGAAATATAATTTCGAAATCGATGCAAAAACAATATCCGCTTGTAGTTTTGGAGGTAGCGCAACCGAAGCATTATAGCTCACACTGTACCATTAAGTAAAAAATAAAGTATTTTGACCCTAATGAAGAAAAAAGCATTTGTACCAGTTTTTATAAATGCTTTCACATTTCAAAAAATATGAATGCTCCATCTCTAATCAGTTCCGTCAGTGCCATAGAAATTCACAACAGCCTGGTACTTGCTGAATAGGATCTGTTTGCTTCCAATCTCCAACCGTATACAACGTTTTTTCGTGTTTCCATGGTGAACTCGCGACTGTATCGCTGTAGAAGGAAAATTTAATATCTACGAAGACCCTTTTTATGTTATTTTTGTATATACTTGCTGCTCTTTACATTGGTTTTTGAATCACTATACATTATCTGTGTATTATCTGATTGCAATATGCAAATATTTACCTGCGTATTTGATATCCAGCTCTTACGTAGCAAATTAGCGTTATTGATACAGGAAGGAAGACTAGTAAGACGAATACAGTAGCTTGATAAGGAATTAGACCTGGATATTTCCTAGTGCAGTAGTCGAACGATAAGTCGGGTACGAACTGTGCCCCCGAAATGCAGGCGCATATCGTCCAAAAAGCTAACAGTGTACAGGTGATATTGCACCTGTAAGAAAGAATAAAAGATATTATTTAAAATAAGACAACAGCTAGTGCCATCTATTATCAGAATTGCCCACTGCGAGAGTAAAAAGACAAGACGTGTAGGGTGGCTGTAAAATTACTGAAAGCTCCGAAGAAGCTTTCAGTAATTTTACAGCTGCGGTCACATTGTGTCTGGGCTATTAAAGTGAGATATTATTAATAATAATAATAATAATAATAATAGGATGAAGAAGAAATCTTTACAGTTTCTCCAAATATAAGAAAATACTTAGAAGTGATAATGGCAAGGCAGAAAACAGACATCTTGTATGTCAATAATAAACTAGGGCTGGTTGATATACGAAGAGGCATTTTCCAAGGTGACGCTCTTTCACCAATATGGTTTTGTATAGCTCTCAACTTCTCTATATGGACGACCTAAAGCTCTATGCACAGAATCGACAAAGTTGCAGTCTCTAGTTGAAACAACCAAGGTATTCAGTGATGACATATCAATGTCATTTCGACTTGGGAAATGTGCTATAATAGACATACAAAGAGGAAAAGTACAACTAAATTAGGCAGATAGAAACAGTATAGCAACATTAGACGCAGGGGAAGTATACATATATCTAGGCACTCCGCTGAAGTCGATCACTCCATATTGAAGATTGAGTTTAGCGGTGACCAAAATATTGAACACAAAACTGTCTGGGATTCCTTTGATAGGTATGTATGCCTATTATTTTGTTAGTAAGCTTTTTTGTATTAATGCGTTGATTTTCTTTACATATCAATTACAAAAAAGATAAAAAGGGTGAGATTATCAATAGGTTTGTCGTGACAAAAACGCAAAAAGGTTATTTTTAGGTCCGCTAATGCCTTGCAAAGCAAAAGAAGTAGCCTATTCTCTGTGACATTCTACATTCAATGCTTCTTCTGATTGGCTCAAGAAATTTAGCAGTCGCGACAATATAAGTTTTAAAGCGACTTAGAGAGAAGGAGCTTGTCCGTCTTTGATTAAGGGATATTCATCGAGAGACATACGAGGGATGTCTTTTAAGTTTTGCATATGGAAATAAAACAACACGGTAGGTAGTTTTAAATGACTTTATTGTTTTTCGAAGTATTCTCCACGAAGATTAATACACATCTGCATGCGCTCGAACCAATTTTCTTATTCCACTCGTTTGCTGGCAAATCCAAAACGGCATTTTATAAATGGGTCAAGTGCTTTTTCTGGTGACTCGAACCTTTGACCACGCAGTCTGTTTTTAATTTTCGGGTAATTAAAGAAATCGTTAGGACTTAGATCAGGACTATATGGAAGATGGTCCAATAATTCCACGTTTTCTCCCGTTAAATACTGCCTTGTTTTTTGGGCTGTATGCGAGCTTGCATTGTCTTGGATTTTCTTCACCTTGGAACACCCAAACAGCCGACTGTCGTTTATTTTCTGGTTCATAACAGTAAATCCACGATTCATCACCTCTAACAATGCTGTAGACATTTTTTAAGTTTCCAGAATTGAAACGGTCAAGCGTTTTTTTACTCCAATTAACCCTGGCTGCTTTCTGTTCATCAGTCAACAGGTGGGGTATCCAACGAGAAACTAATTTTCTTACTCCTAATTCTTCATGTAAATTTTTTTGAATTTAGGTCTTTGATATCTTCAAGTACGCCTCAATCTCGCGATATGTCACATGTCTATCTTGAATGATGAGTTTGCTCACAGCATCGATGTTTTCCTGGGTGACTGCCGTTTTTGGTGCACCCACCCTGGGATCGTCGCTAAGAGTCACCCGTCCACGTTTGAATTCTCCATACCAACGGGAAATTGTCGACTGATGTCGCACTTCGGTGCCGAAAACAGACAGGAACTCAGCAAGGCATTCTTGTTGCGATAATTGTCTTTGAAAGTTGTAATAAATCATGGCGCGAAAATGGTCTCGGTTGAGTTCCATTTTTCTAATGACTTGGCGACACTTAAAAATTCACTGTAGTGGGAACACTGCACGTATTGTTGTGAAACTTTGAATTTAAGTTTACCAAAGAATGAGGTTAAGATTCAGTACTGACGTTCGATCCGCGCGGCCTACTATGTTTCTATATGCAAAACTTAAAAGACATCCCTCGTATCCAATGCCGATACCCGACAAAACGCTCACAATAAAAAATAAAAACTCCTAGTCATTGGTAAGGCAGCTAAGCCGACAGCTTTTAAAAAAATTAACATAAATGGCATGCCTTTAACTTGGAAATGCAATAAGAAAGCTTGTAGATGACAAGACCAATTATGACAGACAGGTTGCACGACCTAGAATGCAAAATTGCTAAAGAGAAAAGAAACATTTTGTTATTTTTACATAATGCCGGATCTCATCCATAAGACACCACTTCACCAAGAGTATTAAAACTTATAGTCTAATATTCAAATATCTGTTAGTAAACATTGAAACTGCTGGTATAACTTTTGAGTTAATAGAGAAAACTATGTCATTGGATCCAGTTTACTTGGCAAAAACCGCATGGTACCAAGTAATCAAAGAAACAGTGCAAAATGGCTTCTACAAAATAGGATTTAAGCAAGAAAATATGCAAAGTGAAGACTTGTTAAATGCGGCTGATACACCTGGCCCAGAAGATGACTTACCACTAATGTACTTTCAGATATCCTCAAAAATAAGAATTTGTTGAAATTGACTGATACTAAAAACCTATAAGATTTTTTGAACCTAGATGAAAGTTTGTATGTTAAAGATCCAGATCCAGGCCAAGAAATTGAAAATCCAGTTAAAATACAATAACTTGCATATTTCGATGTCGATGAGGATCCAGTAGAAGCATTTCCATTATGGTAAAGCTATTGCCCTGACCAAGCAGCTGAAAAGTTTTGACGAAAATCATGGAGATACAGAGTGTTTGGAGTTTGTTTCTAAATTATAAATACGATTTCAAAGCGTCGTTCGAAAGAAAAAAATCGACAATATGTATATTAATTTTTTATTTTATTGTTTTGTGTTACTACATACGTATATGTATGTAAATATACAGGGTCACGCATCGAAAACGAAACAGACGCATTTACTGGCAGCTCAGTTTTTTTTTTTTGGGAAAACGCTCAGACTCATCGATTTTGTTTTCGAGGGCGACATAAGTTTGGCAAAAAATCACGTTAACATGAACATTTTCTATTCAACACTTGCTTTTCCAGCGAATGTTCCTTTTTCTTAAATGGCGTAGTAAATCGTCATAACTGCCGATATTGGTCCGATTCTAATCCCAGAATTTATCATGAGGTTCATACACAGCAGCCACAAAAATTAAATGTTTGGGCTGGTATTTTTGGCGATCATTTAGTTGGTCCTTTTTTCTTACCTGGAAATTTGACCGGTGAAATGTATTTGGAATCACTGGAAGACGCCATAGATCCTACATTAACGGCCATAATTGACAATCAGAATGATCGGCGGTACATTGCGAATAGATGTTCCAACAGGATGGTGCCCCACCACATTACGTATTACGTGTTCGACAATATTTAGATCAGACGTTTCCATATCGATGGATTGGTAGAAGAGGTGCCATTGAATGACCCCCAAGATCGCCAGATTTCTCACCTTTGGATTTCTTTATGTGGGGTCATTTAAAAAGCAAAATCTATGCTACTCAGCCAACATCATAAGAAGAACTGCGACAAAGAATTATGAATGAGTACCTTCAAATTACTCTGGCCATTTTCAATATTTACTTGCCTAACGGGTCAGTTCATTCTTCATTTTTAAATTACTTTGCTGCCAAATGTATTGATCTCCACTAATGATGATGTATTAGTTTTATTTAAGCTTTCTATCAATAAATCTTCTAAACTACTGAACTGAAGTACATTAATTTTACATCATTATAAAAGGAATTGAAAAACCTTTAAATTAAGGTATCACTCGACCCCCTTTCCCATTTAAGATTTTGGGGGTGGTGTCACCCCTGCTTAGGGGGCTGCACGTGCTAACGTGATTTTTTGCCAAACTTGTGTCCCCCTCGAAAACAAAATCGACGGGTCTGAGCGTTTTTCCGAAAAAAACTGAGCTGCCAGTAAATGCGTCTGTTTCGTTTTCGATGCGCCACACTGTATATTATATTTTACATATGTATGTTACATGCACTCATAACAATGGACTTACTATTCCATACAATATTGTATCAGACGCCAGCTCAGCAACAGATAACGACTTCTCGCTAACTCTTTGCTTATGCTTTGTTTTCTAGAAGTGCTTTGTAAGCACACCAATAGTATAAATAGGCCTTGCTCCCATTTCAGGTTGTTCAATACCCGGCTAGGCACCGTACCAGTCACTTATGTAACTTTCGTGTTCAATACCCGGCTAGACTCCGTCAAGTCAAGTAATTGTAAACGTTTGTAATTTGTAACGTTTGTAAATTTTTTATTTAAAAAGTAAAGTTGAATTTAAATGATATAACATGTATGTATGTATGTACATACATATTACGTATCCAGCCTTAAGAAAGGTGATCTGTAGGAGGTGATGAGGGATACGTTTGAAGAATATTTTTCATAAAACCTAAATTCCATACTTTGGCACTATGATAATATAAACAAAATAGTATTTTTCCAAAATTGTTGGTAGTAATGACGTCGATACTAACCTAGTGAGTTTGTCGTGCTTATCCCTGCAACATAACCTTGCACAGTTTTCCACAGCTACTGCAGCCAGGCACAGTACTGTGACCAGGAAGCAAAGCGCTGCTACGAACCACTGGAACCGGCAAACGGTACCCAGCGAGTCCCTTAAGCCAGCCAAGATCACCACTGCGGAAGCAGGTACAACCAAACCGGATACCAGCAAGTCTGCCAGGGCTACCATCACCAAAAAAGTGTTCCCTGAAAGCATCACTTGATTAGATTTGTGTTACTAGCCAATTAAAAGAAAGCTGCACCACTCTGTACTTGCTTACTTGCTCTGCGACATCCACTCAAGGACATTTAGGTATCTATAGTCAACGCCAAACAAAGTGGCGTGCACGTCATCACGATAAAAATTCCCCGACCTAATGCCTAGGTTTCTATCACAAACAATTGCTCTATTGCAGTTTCATATTAATGTGATATATAAATTGTAAAATGGTAATTACTCTCTTATTATGGTTAATAGTCATATAAACATTGTTATTAAAATATCACATAAGTTGCTTTCTGATAAATTTAGACGCATTATGCGAAATAAAATGTTTTGCAAACGCTCCAATCACTTATCGACATGTAAACGCACTAAACCGATTTCGCAGCGTTGACACATTGTCACCTTGAAACTTATTTAAACTGGGAACTGACATTTGTATTAATTTTGACACTGAATCAATTTGTGGCATTTCAAATCTTTATAAATCCTTTGGCCCCGCATACTGTAAATCAACAACTGTTTGTTTCAAAACAAAATTATTCATTTTACGAGTAGATAAAGGCAATTTTGGTATATAAAGATGCCCAAACAGTTAAATAGTCGGTGTAAGGAACTCGTGGCCTCGTTAATGCACTACTTTCAGCAAGACAACAACGGGCCTTTGTTGCCTTTAAATGCTGTCCAAGAGGTAGGTTACTAATAATTATATATAATGTATATTAATAATAGTGAAATTTTATTTCATTTTTTGTAGCGTGTTGCTGCTGCTTTAAAAATTAGATTAAGGACAGTTAGTCGTATTTCCGAGGGTGTGAAAAGTGATGCAAATTTAGAATCGCCCAAGAAAAAGCGGAGTTATATTAAACGTGTAACCAACACAGCGACATTGGATACAAGTGCCATTCGAGAAGTTATCTATAATATGTATCACAAAAGTAAGATCTTATTATAATAACTTATCAGAAATTTGCATTAATTTGTTAACTAAATTATAATGTCATATTACACATGGTTTCAGAAGAACAAGTTACGATACAAACTTTATGGTCTCGATTAAGAGATAGGGCATTATTTGATGGTAGTGCCACGTCTTTAAGGCGGTTGCTTAGAGATCTTGGATTTAAGTGGCTTAAGGACAATCCGCGACGAGGGCTCATGGAACTACCAAGTATAGCTTTGAAAAGGGTGGAATTTCTAAGGCAATACAATCAAGCCAAGGTTGAGGCCTTATACCAGTTTGTCTTCCTCGATGAAACTTGGATATTTCAAAATGGGACCATAGGTCGCTCTTGGCAAAATGGAAACCAAAAAAGCGTGAAAGCTATTAAAACAGATGGTAAAAGGTATGTACTTTTACACAATTTGCACTATAAAATTTAAAACTAATATATTTTAGATACATTATATTACATGCTGGAAATGAAAATGGGTTTATTGAGGGTAGTGAAGCGATATTTTCTTCGAAAACAAAATTGAGCGATTACCATGGTGAGATGAACCAGGACAATTTTTTTAAATGGTTTCAACATCAGTTATTACGAGTAGAAAAATTGGAGAGTCCATCTATGATTATACTGGATAACGCCTCTTATCACAGCATGATATTGAACAAAGTGCCCAACAATGCATGGACAAAAAAAAATATCCAAGACTGGTTGACAAATCAAAACATACCATTTTTAAACACAATGTTTAAAACAGAGCTATTGAGTATTGTTGCTCGGTACATAATGCTTCTTAATTATATATATTTTGGTCGACAGTTTATATTTCTTTTGTTTATTCCTATTCTTAAAATAACTGCTTTTTTAGAAACAAACCACCTAGAATATACGTGATTAATGAATTGGCGGAACAACATGGGCACAAAGTTCTTCGTCTGCCTCCTTACCATTGTATATTTAACCCTATTGAGTTAATTTGGGGCATAGCAAAAGGTTACTATAACAGACATATTGGTAGAGATGGTAACAGTGAAAAAGACTGTTTGGATATGTGGAACGAGGCTCTACAAACGGTTACCCCAGACATGTGGAAAAATAGTGTTCGACATACTGAGCAAGAAATTTTTAAATGGTATGAAAGAGAACGAATTTTTGATCGACCAGACATCGAACCTTTAATAATCAACTTTGAGAGTGATGAAGATTCAGATTCAGACAGCGCTGAAGAAAGAAACTCCGACTAACTTTATTGTACAGAAAAAGCTTACACCAGTAGCTTACCTAATTTTAGAATGTATTTTTCTGTATGAATTCTGTAAAATAAATACCATGCATAAAATTTGGAGGACCCCATTTGGATTTTTATTCAGTACCTTTAAGCTATCAATTAAATATGGTAGTTTCATAGTGTCATCTGATCAATAATTGTCATACTTAATGATTATGCAAGTACAGATCTATAATTTTATTATACTATTATTTTTGTTCTCATTTGAGGTTAATATTGCTTATAAACCTAGATATGTAAATAATAAATTTTATTATTTTACAAAAAGTTTGGCAACAATGTAAATTTTTCAACACACCCACCTTGATGACGTGCACGCCACTTTGTTTGGCGTTAACTATAAGGAGATGACACACGACATGAAAAGTTGCGAAATTTGGGTTGCTTCGGGAACGGCATATGAAAAAACCAATTTATTGTTTTTCAAAATAATAAATATTGAAAAACGAGTAGAGCTAAATAAGTTGTCTATTTCTAATATCAGGTATTCCACCATTCCTCCTGTTTTTTGTATTTTAACCTTCTAAAATTACGATTTATACTGAAATAGTTCATAGGATGTAGCGTTGATAAATATTTAATTTCGTTTCTTCACTATTCCCTTCTTTTAACAATAACATATTAACTATTCACATCGTAACACAGATAGTACTTCGGCCCTGTTGTACGAGAGTACAACCGGTATTATTGGCTACTGAAATATCCTTTCTAAAGAAAAGAATGTACGCCGATGTATTGGCTTATCACTTTGGTAGGCAATTCTACTTAAAAGTATTATAGTCTACAGTATATTCAGATAAGAGATAGACCGGACATAAACAAGACCACGTGATCATCGAACGCTGTAACATTCGGCAGGGACGTATTAAGAGTCACGCAGTACATATTTTTGATAGTAGATGCTGCTTTGCGTAACTTTGTAGTAAATTAGCACAATTCGATGGGTATACGATTGATGATGGATATAGGATCATGTGGGGGTGGGGTAAGAAATATATAATGATGTAAATATACATAAGGGTTTCAAAATTTTCGCTTCAATTTCCAGCTTCGGATGCCGCCTGATGTTTGGTGAAATACAGTCGAATATAATCTCAAAATGGCGTTTAAATTAGCCTAAATTAAAAATAATCGTATATCTCTTAAAATTGCTTTTAGAATATTGATTAGTATATTTTTTGATTTCTAGGTAAATATGTAACCAAATTAAAACGTTCAAAACGTGAAAAAATGTGCATGGTTGAACATTGTCAGAAAGTAGATTCTTGAATAGGTTTTGCCAAAAGGGTTCAAAAATGTCAATAATTAATTAAAAAATACAGTAGCTTTATAATTACTTATAACTTACCGAATTTGATGAACGACATATTTTATTGGAAAGATGAGCTTGATGAGCTTTCATCATCGCTACTGCCTGAAGCACCAACGTCAATAATGAATGGCTCAACTTGTTCCTCTAAAATATTGTCCAGTTCCCACATTCTCTTTTCAACTTTGTCTTTCACGTGCTTAATACAGTTTTCCCATTTTTGCGCTGTTATTAATTCTAGTGCTTCTTTGAAAAGTCCTTTGAGGTCACAAAATTTAAAAGTTGTATTGTGCTTAGCTATATAATTTTTAACCTCTGCCCATATGAGCTCAATGGGATTGAGCTCGCAATGGTATGGAGGTAAACGGAGCACAGTTTTATTTTGACTTGCTGCCATTTCGCCAATGGCGTATTTTTGATATTCCGCCTTGTGATCCTTGACAATTCTTAATAATTGTACTTTCAGCATTGCTTCTTCAAAGTTGATATTTTTCGAGCGGAGCCAATTTTGAACATCAACTTTCCTTGAAGCCGTTGTTGGGACCTTCTCCATTCTTCGAGAATGATAAGGCGCATTATCCAACACAATTACTGCGTTTTCCTCTAAGTTCGGTAAAATTTTTGAAAACCACTGTTCAAACGATTCGCCATTCATTTCCTCGTGGTAATCTCCAGTTTTCTTAGACTCAAAGCACCACAGACCGTCAACAACAAATCCATCCTCACTGCCAATATGGCAGATAATGAGCCATTTCCCTTTACCTGGAAATCGAAGTACTAACTGGTGTAGATTTATTTCAATAAGCGAACCTTTTTCAAATGTTTTCATCACATTCAGCGAAAAAACATTGAGACATGAGTATCAGATTGCTATAATTGGGATTATTTAGTCATATTGAAAGAAAGAATATTGAACGTCGTATGATTACTCAGCGCTTCACAATTTAATTTCAAGTTATAAACCTTTAAAAAATGAATGATCAGGAACCTGAAATACGCGCAAATATTAATATTAACAAATTATAACTTTATAAAGCTTAAAGTATGAATTAAAATGATTAGAAATATTAGGAACGGTACACAATATAAAACTTATTAACTTTTTTTAAGTTTATAATATTCGACATATTTTAAGATTATATTAAAAAATTATTGAAATATCGAAAACACATAAAAACATGGCTTAAAAAAGTTCTAACAAATGAAAATGACAATAAAACATCCACGCATTTTATCGAAAGTTATAAAAGTTTTGTTACTTGTAATATGTTTTATCTGCCCCCTGGAATTAATGTTTAGAACCTTGTTCCCAAGGTTTGAAAAACATCCGATTATTGTCTATTACTCGTATTTACCTGCTGGATTTTTTAATCCGGTGGACAGTCCATCTAGAAAGGCCCTCCTGGATGAAGTTACAGAATCATCAACCCATACTTTACTTGTAGTGTGTCCTGCGTTTACCCACGTTTCATCAGGGTAATAAATCTTCCTGTTTTGATTTCTATATTTCCCAATTTTTGTTAAATAATCCCTCCTCCATAGCACAATTTCTTCTCTATCCAGTAGTAAACTATTACGACCCCGTTTTTTCCATTTGAAATTTAAATGCTTCAGTAACGCATGGA